ACACCCCCAACCACTCCCAAAAAAGATTACACAAATTCAAATCTGAATTCCCAGCTGGAATCTGCTGCTTTCCCTTCAAACCCAAGGAAAAAATTTCCGATTTTTTTGTTTTTTCTGGGTTTTTCCAGGTTTTTCCAGACACACCTTACCCTTTATTTTGATTTTTTGGTTTTCCCATGCGCACCTTACCCTTTATTTTGGTTTTTTCTGGTTTTCCCATGCCCTCCTTACCCTTTATTTTGATTTTTTTTGGTTTTCCCATGCACACCTTATCCTTTATTTTGATTTTTTGGTTTTTCCCATGCACACCTTATCCTTTATTTTCTTCTTCTGAATTTTCCCATGCACACCTTACCCTTTATTTTGTTTTTTTTGGTTTTCCCATGCACACCTTATCCTTTATTTTCTTTTTCTGGATTTTCCCATGCCCTCCTTACCCTTTATTTTGATTTTTTTTGGTTTTCCCATTCCCACCTTACCCTTTATTTCATTTTCCCTAATTTTCCCATTCCCACCTTACCCTTTATTTTGGTTTTTTGGTTTTTCCCATTCCCACCTTATCCTTTATTTTGATTTTTTTTGGTTTTCCCATTCCCACCTTACCCTTTATTTCATTTTCCCGAATTTTCCCATTCCCACCTTACCCTTTATTTTATTTTCCCGTTGTTTTCCAGGCTCACCTTATCCTTTATTTTGGTTTTTTTTTGTTTTCCCATTCCCACCTTACCCTTTATTTCATTTTCCCGAATTTTCCCATTCCCAACTTACCCTTTATTTTGATTTTTTTTTGGTTTTCCCATTCACACCTTACCCTTTATTTTGGTTTTTTGGTTTTCCCAGTCACACCTTACCCTTTATTTTGTTTTTTTTGGGCTTTTCCATTCACACCTTACCCTTTATTTCATTTTCCCAAATTTTCCCATTCACACCTTACCCTTTATTTTGGTTTTTCCCATTCACACCTTACCCTTTATTTTGATTTTTTTTGGTTTTCCCATTCCCACCTTACCCTTTATTTCATTTTCCCATTCCCACCTTACCCTTTATTTCATTTTCCCGAATTTTCCCATTCCCACCTTACCCTTTATTTTGGTTTTTTTGGTTTTTCCATTCACACCTTACCCTTTATTTTGATTTTTTTTGGTTTTCCCATTCCCACCTTACCCTTTATTTCATTTTCCCATTCCCACCTTACCCTTTATTTCATTTTCCCATTTTTTCCCGATGTTTTCCAGGCTCTGGCTCCCAGGCAGGTGCTGGATTTGGAGGATTTGGTGTTCTCCCAGGGCAGTCACTTCATGGCCAACAAGCGCTGCCAGCTCCCGGACGGATCATTCCGGAGACAGCGCAAGGGCTACGAGGAAGTTCACGTTCCTGCCCTCAAACCCAAACCCTTCGGAGCTGACGAGGTGAATTCCCAAAGAATCCACAGCTCCAGAGGCTCCCAAAAAATCCCAGAGGGTCCCAAAAAATCCCAGAGCTCCAGAGGCTCCCAAAAAATCCCAGAGGCTCCCAAAAAATCCCAGAGCTCCAGAGGGTCCCAAAAAATCCCAGAGGTTCTCAAAAAAACCTGGAGCTCCAGAGGGTCCCAAAAAATCCCAGAGGGTCCCAAAAAATCCCAGAGCTCCAGAGGTTCCCAAAAAATCCCGGAGCTCCAGAGGTTCCCAAAAATTCCCAGAGGGTCCCAAAAAATCCCAGAGGGTCCCAAAAAATCCCAGAGGTTCCCAAAAAATCCCAGAGGGTCCCAAAAAATCCCAGAGGGTCCCAAAAAATCTCAGAGCTCCAGAGGGTCCCAAAAATTCCCAGAGGTTCCCAAAAAATCCCAGAGCTCCAGAGGGTCCCAAAAATTCCCAGAGGGTCCCAAAAATTCCCAGAGGGTCCCAAAAAATCCCAGAGCTCCAGAGGCAGAGCTCCAGAGGGTCTCAAAAAATTCCAGAGGTTCCCAAAAAATCCTAGAGGTTCCCAAAAAAACCCTTTTTAACCCTTTTAACCCTTTTTAACCCTTTTTTAACCCTTTTTTACCTCTTTTTAACATTTTTTACCCTTTTTTAACCTTTTTAAACCCTTTTCAACCCTTTTCAACCCTTTTTAACCCTTCCTAACCCTTTTTTAACCCTTTTTAACCCTTTTTAACCCTTTTTTAACCTTTTTAAAACATTTTTTACCCTTTTTTAACCCTTTTTTAACCCTTTTTAAACCCTTTTTTAACCCTTTTTAACCCTTTTTTGAGCCCTTTTTAACCCTTTTTACCCGTTTTTAACCCTTTTTAACCCTTTTTAACCCTTTTTAACCCTTTTTAAACCCTTTTTTAACCCTTTTTAACCCTTTTTAACCCTTTTTAACCCTTTTTAACCCTTTTTTTCCACAGGAAATTCCCACTTCCCCTTTTCCCACCGCTCATCCCGAGTTTCCCCTCCTGGGGGATTTTTTTTTCCCTGAACCCTCAGCTCTGATTTTCCCAGATATTTTTTTTATTTTATGGGAATAAATCCCAGAGTCACCCACAAATCCCAAATTTTTTTTCCCCGGGGAAAAACTTGAATTACCCCCAGAAAAAAAAAAAAAATAAGATTTTTCCCTCTAAAAAATTGGGAATTCTCCTTTTAGCACAAGAAGATTTTTAATTCCATTAATTTCCATTAATTCCAGATGTTTTCCCAGCTCTGAACACCAGGTTGGATTTTAAGGATTTGGTTTTTCCGTGAAATCTGAGAGGATAAAAAAAAATGAGAATTATTTTTCCCAGCCTTAATTAATTGGGAATTAATCATTTTTTAACGAGGGGAATTTTTCTGCACATCCACTCCTCCTGATCAGGATCATCCAGATCTTTCCCCCAACTCATTCCTGAT